CACACACACACACACACACACACACACACACAAAAAAAATTGTACTTCAATGTTTTAATGATTGACAAATGATGACATATTTGTGTTTTTTTTTTAAAGAAAAATAAAAAAGTTCTGTTAAAAAAAAAAAAAAAAGAAAGACAGTTGCTAATCAGTAAAATTATAAAAGTGATATGCAAAAAGCAAATCCATCTAGTCAATTTACTTGTCATGTTATCAAATCAATAAGAAAAGCAAGGAACCTTGAAGCAAGTTATCTATCACATACAAAAAGTCCTATGTCATCCTTAGAAAATTAATCTGTAAAAATTTTGCTTGACTCTCATTTGGGGCTTAGTTTCTCAGCCTCAGGGCAGTAATAGAGGACTACCTTTTTGTATTTTATCTTACAGGTAAGAACTGTGAACTTAGAATTGAAACTGAAAAGATCCAGGCAGATAACCTTTTTTTACCACAAGGCTTGTTAATTGATTTTATATTTTCTGACACCAAAAATCTGTACAAGACCCCAGCAGGTGTTGTCACAGGAATCCATTGTGCACAAAGAAAAGGATTGCTTTAAGCACAAGCTCTTTGAAGATGAGATCAGTTGTTCCAGACTTCAGAGATAAAACAGATCCAATACTAATTGAAATGATCTGATACTGTTCAACAGAGGACAAAGTAATATTACAGCATTTTAATCTGTTAGGATATTCAATTACAGAATTTAAAATTGCTATCTTAGAGCAATCAAATTTCTCCAGCATCATACAGCTGAATTCATATCCATCAAAAGTCTATCTCAGAGAATCTTAACACACACAATGGATTTTTAATCTTTTGCATGTATGTGAACATGCACTTTCAATCACTGTTAATTGCTGGTTACTGCCTGAATTAGTCCTTGCAGTTTTCTTTGCAAATCTGAAAGAGAAAAGATCTTCCTAATTTTTATTCATTTGGAGAAAAAAATAAATATCATCCTGAGAAATATTTCAGCATGTACTGTCTCTTATAAGTTCAGTGGAGAAAAAACAATGGGGGGGGGGGAGATTCCATTCAGAAAAGATTCCATGTAAGGAACATTAATTATATATGAGAAAGTTAAACAGTCAGATCTGGTTAAAATGTGGATGAGATACCCTCAAGAATTTGCAGCAATGTAGATTGAAAAGAAATAATGGAAGAAGACAAGTGTTTCCACATTGCATCTGTATCTAAATAGGAAACAGATATAGCTAAGATTGATCTTCCTACAGGTTTGTTGAATTTCTTATGCATCAATCACTGTCCTAACAGATTTCCCACCCCCCGCCCCCCACTGCTTGAACAACAGAAAAATGCTGCTTCTGGGACGTGAGTGGCCCAAATGACAGTTGTAAATTTGGTCTTTTTTGAATGCCTATATTTTAATGTATGTAGATTACTTACAGTATATCTTGTGTGAAGGACTCATCCCATGAAAAACTTGTATAATAAAATAATAAATTCTTTGCCCCTAGGAATATTGTTTCTTCATAGTTTTACTAGGTGTTTTGACAGGTCTGTAAGGGAGATGATTGTAACCCTGCTTTGAAAAAGCCAAACTGAATAGATTAATGTCTCTTTTCTTTTGTCGGACAGGATCTTGCAGACGCATATTGTATCACAGACATTCATGATGCTTTGGCTTTATCTGAAATTGGAGACGAAAGGAAGATATTTCTGATTGGTACACATGTGGCAAAGGAGGGCTTAGAGATCTCTTCCGGCTTGAAAGATACCCGGGAACTGATTACACAGCTGGTGTCAGAAATTCTGTGATAATGAGACAGAATGGAATGCCATAATAGGACATGGAATGGCAACTATGAGTAGCTCTCTTCTAATCTTGATGGCAGTCAGACCTCAGATACAGAATTGCTATGAAAATGGTTTTGAAATGGAAAGAAATGTTTTGTTTAGAAGTGCTTTAGCAGAAAAGAAGACAGTATTCTCTTGAGAGCCCAACATTTCTACATGTAATATGTATTTCTCCGAAACATTTCTTTTTCTAGGTTGTTTCACATGTGATCACTCCTTCAATTTAAATGCATATTTCTGTGTCAGCTTTCCTTTAAAAAAATACTATTGTGTAGCATTTCAGAGGAGGCCAAAGTTGCTAACCTGGCTAAATACTTATTATCTCTAATATACAGGGCATAGAGAAAAGATTATACCCTAAGAGTGTTTTAGGGACTAGAGATTTCATGTTCAAATAACTCTGGAGGTTATAAATTATTTTCTTACTTGAGAAAATTTAATGGAAAACATATATAGAAGTATACCTATTCATGATCTTTCCTTGGGACACTCCAGGGGAGAATAATTAAGCAGAACTACTCCACAGTTCTTTTAGTATTATCTCAGTTTTGTTTATTAACAATGCTGAATTCAATTCTGGAATTTAAAAAAAGTAGGATATAGTAGTGATACTTTGGACTTTGGTGTTTGAGGAGCCCTTTTCGAAATACGATTAGACAAGAAAACAAATTTACAGATTACAGAAAAAACCTAGATCCCTCACTTGAGGCAAAAATAACCAAGTTCAAATTATATTTTAAACTTAAGATGGACCATTGAGAAATCTATAATTCTGGGAAATTGGCAGGAAAGATGATGGACTTGATTACAGAAGTGGTGGGGCACCACTGAAAGGTCTAAATTTTAGGGACAGAAAACAACCTGGAGAAAGTCTAGGAGATCTAAACATCTTAATCTCCACTACCAGTAAACTCCATGCTCGCATTTCATCAGCTTTAGCATGTGTTCAATTACCATCTTTAAAATTTGGTTCTACCAATTTCTTCACTAATGTTTATTTACTATTTAATCCCTCAAAGTCGTATTTCTAAAATCAAGAGAAATGAGACCTTCAAAACTGGCTTTTCAATCAAATAACCAAATCCCAAGGCCATTATTAATAATAGTAGGATATTATTAGATTATTATTAGATAGGAGGACCCAATAATGTGGCTGTGTTCCAGCATTTTAACATCTCAGACTTCTGCCTAATCGGGTTGGTTCATTGGAAATCTAAAGATAAAAAACATTGATATGGCGAATGAGTGAGAATTGATATGAGAATGAATAGGGTGGTGTTTGCTTCAATTGGTAAAATTTACCCTGAAGATCTTCAGTAGATCTACTCCAGGTGATAGGGTACACTCACCTTTTTGTGCTCCAGAGGAACTTCTATTGTAGAGTTCATGCTGATTTCTGAAAATTCAGTCCCTGTTTAAATTTTAGTATTAACTTCCACCTTGACAGTAATCACTTATCATTAATAGACTCCTTTGCCTTGAGTCTACAGAATAGGACAACTGCCTCTCAACCTTGCTCCCATCTGTTTTGTCCCTCATCTGATAGATACCATCCAATACAGTCTAGTACAGTGTTCCTCAAAGTGTGATCCTTTCAGGAGCCTGCAAAATGAAAAATATGTGCCAGCTTATGTTGAAAAAAATACATTATTAAAATGCCATCAAATGAAATGAAGCACATGTCAATTTAATACAGTAAATGTTGATGAATGTAACCTGTGCAAGTAACAGCTATTTTGGGGTTCTTTGTAAGTGTTAAAAGTGGGAAGGAATCCTGGGGGGGGGGGAGAAACATTAGTAAAATACTGCATCTTAATTTCTTAAATCGTAGTTCAACCATTTGAAACAAATCATTGGTAAAATCAAGGATACTTTTAACATTTTTTGCCACTGTTCAAAAAAGTGACTGATTTACCTCAGAACAGCCTAATCAAACTCCAACCCATTGTTCAAATAAAGAGCCCAAACCTTGGTTTGTAAGAATAGTGTTTGAGTGAAGGCTATATTAATCCAGTTTATAGAAGTGCTCAGTTCAGCAATGATTCTCCCTATCATGAAACATTTCTTATACTAAAAGTGTGATAAAAACATTCCTTAGAGAGAAAAGACAATACTATGCATTAATGAAATAGAGTTCCAACAGGCAGTAACAAATAAAGATGATTGTTCTGGCATTTTATATTATGCATCCTTTGGTAGTGATTCTCTTGGCTCACCATATCTGATGCATACCCAGGTTGGTCCCCAGCTTCACATAACCAGATCTAAAACTGATTTTCCTGTTTTAAAAATGGTAGACCCCAGGTCAAAATAGGATTATGCCAGAATGGTTGAAAACAAATCCTTATTGATGAGTCTCTCTGTTAGCCCTCCTACTTACTGCCATTAATAATTTTTCACCCCAAAGAATTGGATAATTCTAACACTTATTATACAAGTAAGGTGATGGGCAAAACCAATTAATTATTGCCTAATTAAATTAAATAGTAAATTCTATGCTCAATTTTTGACCATAAACTTTTATAGACTGCTTGTATTTGGAGAATATCTTGGACCCTGAACCAGCATGCTTTGGACCAGGATATTCCATCATGGATCAGTGTGCAATTCTGCACCATTTAGCTGCAAAGTATTCCTAGCCTAATGTTGCTCTCATTTAGGTCCTTGAGGAAATTACCTGCAACAAGCATCCATTGATCATCACTTGTCAAATTTTGCTACATCAAAATGCAACACGGGTTAGAGGCAATTGTAATGGCAATTTAACAACTCTGTCCACAGACAGGTCAAACAGTGCGATAACCTTGACGCTTTATTGTTTAACCTCTGCATAAATGACAGTGATGTAACTCTTTTTATACTATTTCACTACTCCCAACACTTGCCTATTAACCTATTTCAATCCTCTTGTACATAGGAGATGCATCCATATTATCTGTAATTTGAAAGGATCTTCAGAGGTGCCTAGCTGCTATAATGTCCTGTCCTAGGAAATTTCTTGCTATCAACTACTATACTCTCAAGTTTAGATATCTTTAGAATACACCTTAAGTCCCTTGTTAAATGGAAAATTAACTAATTGATTAGGTCAAGATTGGAGAGGAGAAATAAGAGGCAGTTGAGGATGTTTTATTATAATGTCAGTTTTATAGGTCCTGCATGCTGGCTTAATTCTGTGCTAAATTTTCTACTAGATAGACAAGATAAGCATTTCATATCTGAGCTCTGGTACCAATGTTACTCAATAGCTACATTTTGTTCTGTTAAATACAGTATGAAAATCTGCTTTGGGCTGAACTCAATGAACTGGGGTAGTCACCAAATCCATATAGGGTTATACAAATCTAACCTTTGATTAACAAGGGCAATTCTGGCACTCTGGTTGCTATGGATAAGGAAATCATTGCAGTCATCAAGCAAGGATATCACATGATTGCCATTTGCAATCTTCTGCCAGGTTGTCCATTGACTTTGTTGGAAATCAGCAAATAAGGTTGCCAGTGGTGGCTGCCTGAGGGCAGGATGCTAAAATGGTAGAAATTCCAGGACTAGGCAAAAGTACCACTGTTCAAATGGTTGTTAAACGAGTGATTGTTAAGCAGGAAGCACCTTAAACATCCATTAGATTGTCAATTATGCCACTTTGTTCTATTTGTAACAAATACAGCTTGGTTCCTCAAGCTATAAGCTCAGGGTGACATTTCATTTTAGTTTTACAAAAATATTAACAATTTTGATTTGATTTCAGGCTTAGCTGGTTGGTATATTTTAGATAGTTCATATGGCTCTTACCTCCTATTTTTATATTGTATTATATAATTTATTTGCTATGTTATCTCATGGTTTTGAATTTCTGTTTGTTACATTGATTGGTCATTTAATAATACTAGCAGTCTTAATATAAATTCCTTGAAGAATTGAGAGTGTCTTGAAAAGTTTAAGTATCCCATATAAATTGGGATAATGTCTTTATTTTTCATATAACATCATATGTCTTGTTTTTTATTGTTGTAATAACTTTATAGTCCACTCAAAAAAGTTGCGGTCAAAACTGTTTGTGAAAAGATGAATCTGGCGTTGTACTTCCAAGATCTCAGCCAATTCAGATGCGATACCAAGCACCTTCTTTTGCCGATTTTCACATAAACAGCTGTCACTTTTAAAGCGTCAGCTGGAATGACCCAAGCGGTCAAAACCCAATCTTCAAAAATGGGTTGTCATCTTTTAAAATAGTGCGGTAATGTTTTAAAATAGTTCCTCCACCCAGTTTTCTGTCTTAAGACCATAAGCCTGGATATTTCAGTGTAAAAGTGTGTCCCTATGAATTGGGGGCAGAGACAATTAATGGGAAACATTTCCTGTGAAATATTAACGGTAGAGAACTCTCATTCTTTGCTTCACTGTGTGGCATGTTTATCTTTCACAACTCTTGATGGCCTTGGCTGGAGAAGCCTGATGGCTCCTGTGATCTAATCCCATTCAGTATTGTTGCAATTTTCAGCCTAGAGGTACTTTCAGCAACGCAATAAAATTATTTTAAGAAATATTTGGTGGTGATAGTAGTGCTAGGTTACACTGACATTGGCAAGAAAATGTAACAGAAGACACTACTTTTGTTTTTAAAACAAGTTTAAAAACTTTTTAAAAAAATTATAATAATAAAATTTTTACCAAACTTTTCTAAAATGTTTTCTGCTTGAATGTGATTTTTAAAAAAATTAAATCAGAATATCTTTTTTAATTATGCATTTTACTGATATAAAAGTATTGTACCGTGTTTCCTGCAATGACCTCTCCTTTTTTTGCTAAGACAAATGCATCCGAAAGAAGGTGATAGAAATGTCTTGACTTCCTTTCCTTGGTTTTTCATATTTTTAGAGCAATGTTTCTCAATCCCGGCAAATTTTAAGTCATGTGAATTTCAACTCCACGGCTGCGTGACTGAGGAATTCTGGGAATTGAAGCCCACATGGCTTACAGCTGCTGAGGTTGAGAAACACTATTTGAGAGCAAACAGATAGTGAATATTCATGTTAGATATAGTAACAAGGGGAATCAAAGCAATGTTAATAATTGCACAGAATCCTCTTGCATAGAAAAGCAACTAAATCGAAAGGGCGAGCCGAAGCGACTGGACTGCACTGTTAAGATAACCTGCGGATTCTAGGCGCCCTCCCACGGCACAAAAAGGAAGTGCAGAGAAAGAGAAACAAACGGCAGTGTTGTCGTGGCGACGGGAACAAAGAAGAACGCAAGGTGCGCTCCCGAGCACCCGCTTTTCTACAACTGCAAGCTGCTGCGTGAGCTAGGAGAAGCAGGGCTATTCATATCGCGCAGGATGGTCCAGCAACGATCGGGTCAGTAAAGGGTACACCGTCTAAAGCGCCACCGTCTTCCCGGGTAGAACCTGCCCTCTGTTGGGCATTGCAATTATGACACCTCGCAGAATGAGACCCCTCAATGCACAGAATGGATTTTCGCGGGAGGGGAAAAGCAAAGATACTATTTTATTTTTACTTTTGATTTAAGAGAAAAAGTGGGTCTTGAAGGACAAGCTATCATCACTATCGTGGCTAAATAGGTCCCTCTCGCTTATTTTTTCTTCTTTGTTTAAAGACAATAAGATTGTACTGATTCCACCGTAAAGGGAGCACTTTGCGCAGCTGGATGGATTTTATGGAAACTATCTTTTATTTTACCACTTGAGCGGAGCTGTCATTTCTCATTGTTTACAAATGGGGTGCAACAAATGTATTTAATGCTGTGCTTAAATGCTGTACTTAAAAAAAACTAATTGTGTAAGTTTCTGAAAATCCCATTAATAATTTGCTTATCAATCCCCATAATGCTCATTTATTTATTTTTAACTCTTTGTGAACTCAGGAAGGCCAGGAGCAGTGCTAATACTTCTGTGTGCAAGCCTTGTCTTTTGAAATCTAGAGATAGCAGCTAGTCTTTTTACTTCTTTTATTTACACCCATGTACTATTTAATTTTTTTTATTGCTGTGATAGCTAGAATTTATATATCACATGGAACTGCCTTTGCCACTTAACCACCAACTGGTAATTAACTAAATAAAATAGTTCTCCAACCCACATCCCCTTTGCGGCAGCCATCCAGTAAAATCCTTTAGAAAATAAATTTATTGGGCCTCAAATTTCAGAGCCAATATAGGCAATAGTTTTATGGTAGCCAAAAACTCAGAGATTGGTAGCACTCTTTCAGACTTAACAAATTTTTATTAAAAGGCAGTAGGTTCTGTGAACTACAGTTCATTACAAAATTATTAGAACAAAAACAATAAAAAACCAAAAGAAAAATACATCGTTCATTGAATTAAGCCCTTATTTCTTCATTATATGAGATACCTGAAAGTTTAAGATAATTGTAATTCCTAGCATTCCTAGCTAATGGAGCTCAAGTGATGCTCCCGATATTTTGGGATGATGATGATTATTATTCAATTATCAGAGTGTTACAAACAAATACAATCATGCAGACAGCTCCAAAAATAAATGATCTATGTAACTATTAACCATGCCAGAAAAGTTGCACATAGGGCGTATTACATGGGATAAACTTCCATAGCACTTCTCAGGACCATATAAATCCATGGAGCAAGGGTTCCCATTCTGGGGTGCTCCACTCCCAGGGTGTGTAGGATAGAATTTCAGGGACTACAACAAAGAATGGCTTGTGATCTTTTGTGATGAGTCACAAGTCACAATTATTTTTGTACAGGGTATGAACATTAACCAAACATTTCCTGAGGGTGTGGACCATAGAAAAGATTGGAAACTACTGCCATAGAGAACAATATACTCTCTTTTTGTATTATAAAGCATATCCTGCTTAAGGTGCTGAATAAGGGAATCATGCTAATATTTGCAGCCCAAAACAAAAGTCTTTTTGGTACCTTAGAAGCAAATACTAATATTAGCTACAAAAGCTTAACTAATAAATTCAAGAATATATTAGCATTCAGGATGCTGCATGTCTCTTGGATGTTTAATGTAGCTGCAGAACTAGCTGTGCCCTTTGGACCTCAGAAACCCAGAGATTCATGGCATTTTTATGAGCCCCATTAGCACTTTATCAATAAGAATTTTCATTGCTAGGACTTCAGTTGCTGGTTGCTATTTTGGCAATGTCCCACAGAGGTAGAAAAGGATTGGAGGATTGAATTAATGGACTCCATGTGTCATTTTGTTGATTTAATCCCATTCCCAAGCATTACTGAATTACTTACAACATATAATTAACTATAGAATATGGACATCATTTTCAGATCCATTTGTTCTTTTCTGCTTCTCTTGCAGCTAGTCCCCATGGGTTTCATTCAAATGAATGGTAAGAGAAAAATCATCAAGCTCCTATATCTGAGTAGTTATATACATTCAGGAATTGCAGAGTGATATCCAAAGTGATACATTCAGGCTTCAGTTTACAAAACAGGACATGCCTCTCCTTTTCTGAATTCCTCCCCAATATTTGAATCAGAATGATTACAGAACTGAGTTTGAGGATGTGAAGGCATTCTAGAAAGGGGGAAAAGTTATCTTGTCTTTTCCCATGATCAATTGGGAGGAAAAAAATCTGAATGTATTTATTTATCTTGACTTTTTGGGTAACCAGTGAGTCTTCTAGTATGCATGATGTCATAATTATTTTCAATTGTTTTGCAGTAGCTGGCCTGCAGACTATCTTGATTCTATGAAAATAAATTTAAAATAATTAAAATAATTATGGAAAGTAATAACATATAATACTAGCAGGAAACATATGCTGTACCCCTACTATAAAGTGATATGGGCTGAGAAGGTAGATGATGACTTCACAATCATTTCTTCCTCAACACATTGCTCATAAATGTTGATCAGGTTTAATTTTGCATTTCGATTATTGTAGCAGAAGCAGAACTGGAGAGAACTGCTAACTCTCTTTCTCCTTCATTGTCAACTTATCCATTATCACTCTTATTTCTCTAGTTTATACATGTGGGTCAGAGATATTGCACAGAAGAATCAGGGACAAAAATGCTATCAATTTTAATATTAGTCTTTATTTGGGATATAACAGCCATATTTACTGTATAAGGAAGAATTCACAGAGAGTGTCAGAATGTTGACAATATCTATTTGACATAAATTTAGATTTAACTTTAATTGCGTAGGAGATTACTTTACAGTTAAATTGTTGCTCATAAGAAAACTAGAAAAAAATTCTCAGGGCTCAGACAGTGACCAATTTAGTTTAATATTTTGTCTAGCCAGTTTAGTGGGTGGAATTGCACTTGAGGGGTTACATTTTGTGTTTCCTGACTTTTTTTCTTCTCTACGTAGGACAGTTGATAGCAAAGAAAATGGTTAAATGTTTGGGCAGAAAAATTAACTAATACTCTGGGAGGCAGTACCTAGAGGCCTCTAAATTCTGTCCTACCACACATTTTGTACAACAACTGATGGTTGTTTTTCCTACTGGGAAGTGATGCTGGTTGGGAGAAGAAAGGACAACAGGAAACCCACCAGTAGCTGATCTGAAACTGTCCCCTATTAAAATTTGTAAGACTGCAACACCACCTAGCCTTTTTCCTTGAGTGTAATAAACACTCATCCTGGGCGAAGTATATATACTTTGCTGTTGACTCTAGCAAAGTGAGTGTCCAAAAGAGCACTGATCCCATTCCTTCGTGCACTGGCGTGTTCGCACATTGTACACTCTATTTGATATACAATCTGGAACTACAAGCTTGACGAGCTTAATTTATAGCCTGTGTTGCTAATGGCTGAAGGAGGAAGATCTTTCTGTCTCTTTCACAGTGTCTATCACTGGCTGGGAGAAAGATTCTTCCTCCTTCCATGGCAACTATTCTCAAGCTCCTCTCTCTTAGCACCATTATGAACTGGAGGGTGGTGTTTGGCTGGCAAGGAATGTTTCTCCTTGAACAAGTCTCAGCCTGAATTAAAGGCCTACCACCCCAATGTATC